AGTCTCGCTTGCTTCTGCAGTCTCGCTTGCTTCTGCAGTCTCGCTTGCTTCTGCAGTCTCGCTTGCTTCTGCAGTCTCGCTTGCTTCTGCAGTCTTGCTTGCGTCTGCAGTCTTGCTTGCGTCTGCAGTCTTGCTTGCTTCTGCAGTCTTAAGCAACTCTTTTTGCATTCCTTCTCCCCTCCCCAGGGACCTGCTGTTCTCCAGTCTTGATGTTCCTAACACATATGTCTTCTACTGTAAGACATTCCAAGTCCTTGTTAGAGTCAGGTGGTAAGGAGTGTTGTTGGGTGCTATAACGTTGGTCCAGACTCATGGCGACTCCCTGTAACAGAGTAGAACTCCTCCCATAGGATTGTCTTGGCTGTTATTTTGACACAAGCGGATACCAGATCTTTCTCCCTAAGAGTTACAGAATGGGTATGAACTACTGACCTTTCATCTAGCAGTCAAGTGCTTAACTGTTGTGCCACCAGGGTTCCTTAGTAAGGATTAGGATAAACTATACATACATGAGTTTAAAAACAAAATAGCATTAAGCATAGCAAAAAATAATTGTATCTCTGGGGTCCTGGTACGATGCCACAGTATAAGCACTAAACCTCAAGGTCAATTTGAACCACAAGTTTGGCAGTTGAAACTCCCCAGATGCTCCTCACAAACCCTGCACAGGGCTACCATGAGTTGGAAACAACTTGACAACACTTAACAATAACAACAACATGCCATATTTGGACTTCTGGTGTAATGCTGTAGGATCAGCACTGGACTGACTGCAAACCATATGGTCAGCGGTTCAAACCCACCACTTGCTCCTTGGGTCGCCATGAATTGGAACTGACTCAATGACACGCAACAACATGTTATATATGGAATCCTGATGTGGCACTGTAGGATAAGCACTGGCCTGCTAACCATAAGGTCAGCGGTTCAAACCCACCAGTTGTTCTTTGGAAACCCTCTACATGGTTGCTATGAGTTAGAACCAACTCAATGGCACTTAAACAAATCAACAATAAATGCTGAGGGGTATAGTGTGGTGCTGTAGAATAAACACTGACACTGGACTGCTAACCAGAAGGTCAGAAGTTCAAACGTACCAGTTACTCCACAGAAATCCTAGACAGGGTCACTAGGAGTTGAAACTGACTCCGTGGCACTTAATTAACAACAACAAATGTTATGTATGCAGTCCCAGTGTGGTACCAAAGGATACCACACTGGGCTTGATAAGCACGGCTAGAAGGTCGGCAGTTCAAACCCACTATCTTCTCCTTGGAAACCCTATACAGGGTCACTCTGAGTGTCAGTTTGTCACACTGTGGTGTCTTGTATGATGCTGTGAACTTGAAGCTACGTCACCGGAATTTTGAATGCCAGTAGGGTCACCCATGGTGGACAGGTTTCAGCTGAGCTTCCCGAATAAGACAGACTTGGAAGAAGAAGAGATGGCCTACTTACAAATGTTTAGCTACTGAAAATCTCATTAATAGTAGTGAAACACTATCATATAGCCTCAGAATATTGAATATTGGAAACATGATGAATAGCTCCAGAATACTGTCAGATCTAGTGCCAGAAGATGAGGCCCTCAGGTTGGAAGACCCTCAAAATACAACTGGGTAAGAGCTGCCTCCTCAAAGTAGAACTGACTATGATGACTCGAATGCAGAAATGATTTCAGGACCTTCATTTGCTGATGGGGTACAACTCAAAATGAGTTGAAACAGCTACAAGCACGATTAATAATTGGAACATGGAATGCACGAAGTTATGAATCTAGGGAAATTGAAAGTTGTCAAAAATGAAATGGAATGAATAAACATTGGTATCCTAGGTATGTGAACTGAAATGGACTGGCATTGGCCAATTTGAATCTGACAATCACATGGTTTACTATGCCTGGAATGACAAATTGAAGAGGAATGATGTGACGTTCCTCAACTAAAAGAACATTTCAAGGCTGATCTTGAAATATAATGCTGTATGTGATAGGATAAGATCCATATGCCTGCAAGGAAGACCAAGGAGCTCTGGTAGCATAGTGGTTACGAATCGGGCTACGAACCTTAAGGTCAGCGGTTCGAAACTACCAGCCGCTCCGCGGGAGAAAGATGAGGCTCTCTACTCCAGTAAAGATTTACACCCTCGGAAACCCTGTACAGGGTCACTATGGGTTGGAACCGACTCAATGGCACATAACAACAACAACAACAAGGAAGCCCAGTTAATACCACTATTATCCAAATTTATGCACCAACTACTAAACCCAGTGATGATAAAATTAAAGAATTCTACCAACTTCTTCAGTCTGAAATTAATCAAACATGCAATCAAGATGTATTAACAATTACTGGTAATTGAAATGTAAAGGTTGGAAACAAAGAAGAAGGATCAATAGTTGGAAAACATGGCTTTGGTGATAGAAATGATGTAGGAGATCACATGATAGAATTTTGCAAGACCAATGACTTCATCATTGAAAATATATATTTTAGACAACATAAAAGATGACTATACACATGAACTTCACCAGATGAAATACACAGAAAGCAAATGGACTACATCTGTAAAAAGAGATGATGGAAAAGGTCCATATCATTAGCCAAAACAAGGCCAGGGGCAGACTGTGAAACAGATCATCAGTTGCTCATATGCAATTTCAGGCTGAAGCAAAAGGAAATTAAAAGAAGTCCTTGAAAGTCAAAAGATGACCTTGATTCTGAGGTGGGAAATTTCCACTTGAAAGGACAAGCAGACCAGCCTGGAGTGGCTAGAAGAACAGAAGATACTTCTTGAGAGAAAGACCAACAGGAAAAATACAAAACAATAATGGCAGTCCGACTGACTTCTACAAGAACATGCAACTTGCTTGCCCAGAAGACATCAAGGCAAGTGGTCGA